AAGAATTTTTCAAAGGTTATTGACTTATGCGTTATTAAGTAGATATAACCATATTTGCTATAATCATATGTGAAAGTGACAAAAAATCGATTTCCATCCCTTATGGTGGATCTAAAGGGCCCACACACATCCGTGTGTATGAGATCTCACATCTTTCACATGAACCCATGAAAGGTGATTTAGTCATCTTTCCATGTAAAAAAGATTCGCATACATCATTCGACTTTAAGTCGAATGATTCCATCACTCTATCCTTTTGGAGTTGGGCAATGCGTTTCTTGTTGACATGTCCATGATAAAAATTCCACAAGCATGCCTTGTCTAAATCATTAGATGAGACAATATGTAACATACTATTTTCTAAATTGTCTACAAGCATCACAGTTTCATACACACCATCAGGATGTAATGATTTAAATAAAATAAACCATTATAATAAGCATGAATAGAACCATTCTCATTCTGAAAAGAATATCTAAGACCTTGTATATTTAAACCATGAAATGAAATCATATTTCTTGTCATTTCTGACGAGTAGCAACAATTATTTAAATCTAAACATAACCCACTACTAAGCACTACAGAATAAACACAAATCTTGGTAATAGGCGATGATCTCCTATTGTCCATATTTAGGTTCATCTTCCCATGCTCCACATCTTCAATTCTTCTTAATCCCAGCAAGTCAGAGAAAATGTAAAAACCACACCGTATATCGAGAACCCAAGTTTTCCAATGTGATGAGTTTTTAGATAGAATAGTGTAAATACCTGCGGAGGTTGGCTTAACCGTGACATTATTAATCTCTTGCAAGTACTTGGGGAAACTTCTATTTTAACGCCCTTTATCATGGTAGTAAAAGCAAGTAGCATCCTTTGGATCAGAGGTAGGGGGAGCTTCGGAACTAGATTTGCTTTTAGGGCCATTACTCGATGACGTATCTTGAGACTTTTCCTTCCAATCATATTTTGAGGGAGCTTTTCTCTTATTCCCTTTCCCTTGCCCTATGTCCAAGATGGGAGCACCAACAGGATGAATGGAGGTAACACTTTTTCCCTTCATTCCACTTTTGGTTGTTCTCAGCAAGCTTTAGAGTTGAGTCAATGTGGTTTCCTCCTTGTTCAGATGATAAGTCTAAAGAAATTGATCATAACAACTAGGTAATGAGTGCAAGACTATGTGAATATCCAATTCCTCATAAAATTTTACATTGAGCTTCAACAGATAATCCACATAATGTTGCATGCATTACAAGTGGGTCGTGACAGACTCTCTATCCTTCATCTTGCTTGTTATGAATGATTTGACTATTTCATACCTTTGTTGATGGGCTCGTTGATCGTACTTCCCTATCAAGTCCTTGCACATCTCATAAGGATGATAGTCCTCATAGAACCTTTTCAGTTCGGGAGTCATAATAGCCACCATAACGCATGACACTTTGGTAGCATCATTGTAGTGTCTCCTATATTCAACAATTTCTTTGGGAGTAGGTTTGGTTTCATCAATCTTGTTCAGATCCTTTTCTAGAACATACTCCTTTTCCACGAACCTCAAGGCCATTCTGATGTTCTGGATCCAATCAATAAAGTTAAAATCATTAATGGTGACCTTTGAGCAGATGCTCAAGAGTGAGAAGTGGTTGGAGTTGTTGTTGAAGTAGCCAGAAGCATTGTTTGAAGTTGACATTTGAAAATGAAAAATGATTAGATTTGATTAAATAAGAAAATCCTTATTATAACATTGAATGAAATATTAAGGCAAGGACCCAACTAAATAATTCACAATTTAGAAGAGAGATGTTGTAATCTAATTGCAAATTATTTAAAGGTAGGTAAATGACGATTTACCAATTTCACCACCAAGAAAATGAAATCTTAAGTGAATTAAGTTTTAAATGAAATTCCTAGATCTTTTGAGATTCATTGAACTATTCAATGGCATATTTAATCTTGATTATGCCCTTTCCATTTGTGTTTGGGATACCGAGGATCAAACACAAGGTGTGAATAACCATGTAAATTAGCTTGGTACTCTCGATGTCGTTTATCATCTAATTAATGTGTCGGTTAACCATACACGCTCTATTAATCAACAATAATTTATGAGCTAGCCATTTCCATCCTCTATTAGTCATATTAGTGTGTCGATTAACCACGCACGCTCTACTAATGACTTTTATAAAGTGCAATGTGCAGTTTCATGGATTAGCATCAAATTCACATTTTCCTAAAGTAAATAAGATTTGGAAAATTTATAAAAGCATTTAGTTACTTTGTATATCATTATACTTATTAATGAGAGTTTAGTGTCCTATCAAACCCGTTCCGCTAATGACCCACCACCAATCAAGGAATCGGTGGGTGAGAGTGGACACCCATTCAACCGGCATTTTATTGGCAGTTTCCTTTTACCCCCTTATAGATCAGGTTCATGAATGAGGCCTACTAATGGTAAGACTGACTTTTCTTATACATATATGTAAATATTAACTTTTAATTTTACAATATATATAAGGGTGTATCTTAAACTTGTATAATAATAGGTTTCTAAATTTTAAATTTTCAAAATTAAAATATTTTATTTAAGTTTTAAATTTTAAAACCAAGCGTGTATTTTTAAAACCTTTCAAATTTTTAATAATTAAAATAGCAAATTAATTTGGTCTTTATCAAAAACTTTAACCCAATCATGAATTCATGATAAGGATACAAAATTATTGATTAAAATATCCCATTTGAAACAATTAAAACAAATTTAAGGTAATGATCCTAATCAATCAATGAAACAATTATCAAAAACGAAAATTCATGATCTAACAATGCAACTCGCCAAGTTGGGCAATGCACTCATCGAGTCGAGTTGATGTCAACCCCTCGAGTTCCAAGATGAACTCGTCAAGTTTGATGAACAAAATGATGATTCTATTTCCTTATCCTTTAAACAATTCACAATTGCATCATATTATACAGAAAACTAATCCTAGGATGTTACATCTGATGGGCTTCGAGCATAACAACGATTCTTAAGTGTGCATGCAACCCTAATGCTTTGGATATTGGGTTTCTCTAATTGAACATGCAAAGTTCAACACAAAGGAGAAACTGTAGGAGAGGTATACTATTTTCGAAATTCATATAAAACTAGGGTTGGGTTACATACCTTGATTGTTATATTGTAATAAGAATGAATCCCTTGTAGATCTTGAAGCTGGAGAACTTAGTGTCACAAATGTAACACCTCTAATGGCTCACAAACACACAATGCGAGAGAATGATATGATAGAGGAGGAGGTGAAATTTTCGGCTCTAGCTTCTATCAAAGAGTTGCCGAAAATCATAGCCCTAAGGGTTCTTAATATTGTGCACCAAGGTTACTGTGGATTAACCCTAATTTCAAATATGATAATTATCCACTGCCTTTAATTATCTATATATGATAAGATATTTTAGAAACTCTAGAATAATCTTACAGATATCATCACAAAACCATCCACCCGTCCCTAGGAATGTTTTGGACCCTTTTGCTTAACGATTGAACAATTGCACTTTTAGTCCCTACACTATTAATTAATTCCTTTAATTCGAAAATCAATTCCAAATTAATTTCTGATTAAATATTAACTAATAACATAATTACTAATTAATATTATTTCCATAACCTATTAATAAATCATTAATTCCAATTTATTAATCAAATTAATAAATTCTTCCTTTTCTTTAATTAATTATCCTGTCTAGTTGCACGTGTGAAGGCAATCCAAAAGGACCATGTCACTATCAATTCAAGTGCCACTACAAGAAAAATAGCATTTTACGATGCGCAAACCACGACACTCATTGATTTATGCTACGCAAAAGAGAGTAACGTTAAAAAAGTGTCATCTCTTCAAAAAATTTAAGGATTTAGGTCACGTATTATTATGTGTCCTTAAATTAGTGTCATATGAGAAAAAATTAAAAACACGGAGGGCGATGTATCTTTAATGGGCATCCTCTATGAGTGTCGCTTTATAATTTTAATGAAAATCGTGTTTAATAGACAGGGGGGAAAATGAAATCCCTAAAATTTTGAACACCCACCTTCTTTTTTATCCTCCTCTTTGCTTCTTGCCCTAATTACGATCCTTTCTTCCCCCTCCATACATTCGACTGCCGCCTTGCCTAGATATCGACATTCCTTCCTTCGTTCCGTACTTCCCTTCTTTGCCTGACAATATCTCAAGATGTACAACTCCGAAAGCGTACAAGTAGGACTTATGTGTCGGAGCACCGGTAGACTAAAATTCAGGCGATATGTAGCCTCGTGTGCCCTAGTATTTCACGAATCTTGAATGTGGGTGTGAATTGACTCTATTTAAAACATCTGTAACCGAATCCAAATCTCGGGGTTCGATTTCTCTCACGTTCACAATCTTTCCATTTAGACACGTATCAACGACTGTAAAGTTGAATAAAAGATTTCCGAGACTCGGGGCACGAGGTTGAAGGTAACAAATCCTCTTCTTCTTCTTTTAATTTCATTTCAATTTCTCCATTTCATCATCAATTTCGAGAATATGTGGGTATGAAGCGACTCTGTTTAAAACATCTGTAACCGAATCCATGTATGTTTCACCTTTGATTAATCTTCTTGAGAATTTCTTGATTCTAGGCATTAAGAAGACCAAACTGTGTTTTCCGTTTTCAGTGTAGTTGCATCCGTTTGGTTGTTCTAAATGCCAGTTGTCTGCAACCAAGATGATTAGTGCACACCAGAGTTTGTATGGCTGTGTATCTGTAAATAGGACTAATGGATCTACATAATTCATATATTCTTTTTGAAATTGTACTTTGTGTTAGTATCATGAATATGAATCTGTGTTGATGATTAGTGCACATTAGAGTTTGTTGTTCCAAAACAAAAGGACAATTTGGTCTTTTTCCTCATTCATTGATATAATATTAGTTTTACTCCCTTTCTTTTCCAATATTTTGTCTGCTTTCATTTCTAAAACAAAAATGAAAAGTTGCATTCGTGAAGTAAGTGGTGGTTGTCAAAGTTTTACTAGTTTTTAAATGTCTAAAATACCCTTTCAATGATGATGGGCTACTAAGTAATTTCATAAACATGGTTCAGGCACGACTTGGATTTTGTAAGTTCATGGTGAAGCCTTCCATACTACTTGTGCTAGATGAGCCAACTAATTACTTGGATATACCTTCCAAAGAAATGCTTGAGATTGGTTTTTTTTTTTTTTGTCTCTATTGACATCTTTATTTATAACTTTTTCCGTGAATCTGATTGCACACAGTTGAAGGTCAACTGAGAATTAAAGTTTATAGCTTCACTTTTAATTTTTTTTTTTTGGGTTTTAACTTTTGGGTCAACTGAGACTTCTGATAACAAGTTGGTTGCTGCTTCTAATGTTGTTGATCACTACCAAATGAATGATTCCTACACAATTTGGGAAAAAGTATTTTTGTGATTTGAGATGATTTTCTATTTTATTCTATAATCTCTTGACCTGGTTGCTTTGTGGTTATACAAAGTCAAGAATTATATTATTTAATTATTTTCTTTTATCTCATATTTTCTGAATTTTGATAATGAAGTTGACAATGATGCTGAAGAACCTGATGAAGATTTGAGTGACACTGAAGAAAAACGTTTGGTTGATGCCAGTGGATGGTCTTCACGTACCAAGTAATCATATTTAGTTATTTTTTACATTAATTGAAAAAGAAAATAAATAAAACCTTTTTTTTGTAGGGCTATTGGAAAATATCTCCAAAATATATTTAATAAGGAAGAAGAGAATAGAAGAAAGGCTCTTCGTATGAACAACCTTTTAAATGAGAAAACTTGAAAGGAGGCATCAAGAATGTTTTTCAAAACTTTGGTAAACTTTACAATTTGATTATAAATAACTAGCCTTTTTCACATTTTAGTTGAATTTTGAAGGTACAAGTAGAATTCCAAGGGGAATTTGATTTGGGTTTTGTTTAAAGTTTAGAATTGATACGACTAGTTTTGATATTTTTTTATAGGAAATAGCATATTGGAATGCTTAGAGATTAATTTCTGACATTTTTTGTATCGGGGTTATTCTTGTCATAGTCATTCAACTTTTGTTTTTAAATTTTCAGGGGAGTGTCAGCATGCCTCTTGACTCAGGTGCTAGAGAGATGGCATCAATATTAGACACTACACTTGTACAAGCTCTACTTTTAACCTCACAAGCTACTGCTGCAGGAAACTCATAGTAGATTCAGTAATTGTTGTCATCCGAACTCATTATTTTTTTTTAAGTAGTTTCATAGTTGAACTTAAAGAATTGCAAACCTTATATAAACTTTGATCTTTTATTATACATCAGGTAACTTTATTCCTTTCCAATATGCATGATTTTCAAGAATTACATCCCCTATCTATTACAGGGGAAGAAAATCAAGGATGATTTCCTTAACACTTCAGTTCAAGATTTGGTAACTTACCTGAATCCAATGTTTCTAGCTTACATAGAAGGGACTGACATCTTAGTTTTCCCAAATTAAATTTTGTGTATTATAGGGGAATATTTTAGACACATCGAAGTCACATATATTTCCTCTTCACATATATGAATGCTAAAATCATATGAATAATCAGTGATTCTTGTTTGCATTCATATTGAACAGGCTGTAGACATGCAGATGCAAATGGTCTTGATGGTTTAAAGGTTCAGATTATACTAGCATTTATCTGCTATCAGCCTTGTTTATTCTTTGTTTGAATGTTGATAGAGAGTGAAGTATCAAGTGTGTTACCCTATGATTGATTGATTATAATCAAATTATAGGTGGGTCGTTCCGGAAGGTTTGGGCATCTTGGGTTGGCTGTGAATTTGATAACCTTGGAAGACAGATTTAACCTGTAAGTCTTCCTCCTGATAATATTAATTAGCATTACCAGATTTACCCTTATCTTTCTAACTTTGTGGTTTCATGGCTATTTATTAATGCTATAGGTATCAGATTGAGTATGAGCTTGGAACCGAAATTAAACAAATTCCTCCACTAATTGATCAAGCTGTTTATTGTTGTTGACCCATCATTATCAAACCTGTTGCCTTCATCATATACATACTATCATCTTCATCTTGGTCAGTAACAACTAACAACAATTTTTATTATATGAATGATGTTTAAAAAATATTTAAGAAAATGATGGATTGGAAACAAAAAATTCAGGGGAAAATCCTTTTTCCTCTCCATTGACTCATTCTATTTGCATTAAAAAGAAAATGATGGTGTTGTTTCTTTTTTATCAATTGATGGACTTAAGGATTTAAATATATTATTGACAAAATTTATGTAGTATGAAATAAAGATGAAATATGTAAACAAAAAATAGTTATTTATGTGGTAGGAAGCTCATTAAATCCAAATATTAAGAAACTAAATCTCCGAGTTTGTACACGTGGAGTATTACATTGTGGGTGATTTTGGTTATTATCATATATTGAAAATTATTAATGTAAAAGTACAATGTTAAGATTTCAATTTATAACTGTTTGTAAATGAACAGTCAATTATATATATATATATATATATATATATATATATATATATATATATTCAGTATCACTTCCTATAAAAGGGTAAAATGGTCATTTTCTTTTTCATCCTCAGTGTGTTCATTCAGTCCAAATATAGAAAGCAACAAAGGATGATAACAAATTACCTTTTGAGAAAGAGTACTTGGAATGCAAATTACCTTTTGAGGTCAGTATTTAACATTCTATAGAGACGAAGTAACAAAACACTTCCAAAGTGGCAAATAATATTGCAACCGTACTTAAATTATTGAACATAGGACACAAACAAACTGTAAAGATTACACAGATGCATTAAAAAAAGATGTAAACGAAGATAAATAATCAAAATTAAAACTAGATTTTGTGTGTGTGTGTGTATGGGGGGGGGGGGTATATCTTTTTGCTATCATATAGAATCTTTCCAAAACAAATAAATAATCAAAATTAAACAAGTAGTCAAGCAAATAGAAACTTCATTATTGCAACTTTAACTTTATTTTTTGTATCAAAGTTACAAAGTGTAATTTTTATTGTTTTTTAGGTTGATGTCAGTGAGAAGCAAGCTAAACTTGGTGATGGATACTAACATGGACTTAGAGAACCTAAGGACAAACTGGAGAAGTGAGTTGAAGAGCTGACATGGAGATTAGACTTTGAAAAGCATTTGTGGTACATTTTTTATATTGCTTGTATCTAATTAGTTTGTAAATTTTTGTTACAACTATTGATTTGTTTTATCTTTCCATGGAACGATTATTTGTATGACATTAAATTTTATAAAATGGATTGTATTTTTTGTGTATGATATTTTATTTTCTATTATGAGACATTAAATAAAATTTAATTTGAAAATTAGTAAATCTATAAATAATATTTTTTTTAAACATTTAAAATTATGATGCGCAAAAATGTGTGTCATCTTCATTTATGACATGGCCTTTCTTGACAGGGGCTTTCTTGATACGCATTGCATGTCATTAACATGCATGTTGTAAGGTTATGACACGCGAAAGCGTGTCGTCTTCCTTTATGACAGGGCCTTCCTTGATACACATTGTGTGTCGTAAACGCGCATCGTAAATGAGCATCGTAAATGCGCGTCGTCTCTCTTTATGACTAGGCCTTCCTTGACGCGCATTTGTGCATCGTCTGAGCCTTTTACGACGCACAATGAGCATCGTAAAAGAATGACTTTCTAGTAGTGTGCATACCAAATATAATTATGAGGTTAGACATCTAATCCAACTGTCTCCCACTTGGATAAGTCTAATAACTATAGTTTGAAGTATGTCTTCAAAAACTAATAAGCAATTGTAGCTCTCATAGCTTTTATCAAACTCCGACCTAGTCAGTTGCTTGTCTTAAGATAAGGGATCATATACTACTCTGTTTTGCAAGATATCATGAGAACAAATGACATGGAACAAAATCATTCTCATTGTCCAACAGTTTGTTTCCCGATTTCTGATTTGTAATAACAATGAACTTAATGGAACAAAATCATTCTCATTGTCCAAAATTCATTTACACTGATGATTTACATTTCCTTTAATCTCTCAGTGTAATGTATCTTCGTATTGACACTTGTGATACAAATAAAATGAGTGGGCTAGGTTGAGAAATCTGATGAGTACATAGGGTTTTCAACCCACAACAATATAATTATTATGTTTAATCGTATAACAATTAACCCAACTTCCATCCCCATTATCTTCTTTATTCTTCAGGATCTACCCTAAGAATCATCTATTCTTCATTCATTCATTCCTAAGGATCATCCTAAGGAATAGGTACAAAGTCTATCGTTGCTAGGTTTTATCTAAAATGCACAAAGTCTATAGTTGTCGATGTTATCTATTAGGCACTAAGTCCATAGATGCCAATATTCATCTATAGGGAAATAAATGCATAGCTGCCAACGTTCATTTTTAAGGCACTAAGTCCATAGCTGCCAAGGTTTTTTTAGAGTACATCTGGTGAACATGTCATTCACAAACACCTATAGGTTACAAACATGCTAGAGTTCCAGTAGATTGTGTAGAATAGTCCATAGTTTTCATTTATACTCTTCTAGATGAGTGGATCATCATTAAAATCAAGGTTCTCATCATCTTTCACTATCATCATTTATATCATCTTTCATCTCTCATCATTCATCTACCCATCTTTACCCAATATATTTATTGGTATAAAAATACATATATATATATATATATATATATATATATAGTTTAAATCACGTAAAACATGTATAAATCATTCATTTAGCATAGATATAAGGAACACAGATAATAAGCACATATAACATGTCATTTATATTAAATACATCATATCTATGTGTAAGATAAAAGTCACTATGCAGTCGCTTGTTAAAGTGACGACTCGAAATTCGGGCAACGCTTCAATTCTAACAATTCTCTTTTCCTTTTATGAAACCTAGTATCATTATTAGTAAGTTTTAGTTTATTATTTATTGCGACTAATTATTAGTCTAAATTCATCATTAACTCAAAGGCTACTTCCAGATCTATCAAGTAAGGAACAACAAGGTAGGATCATATCGGAGGTCGGGTCCGTTTGGTATACAAAGTATACCATTTGGAAATCCCACTTTCAACACCTCACTAAATCACAGACTATACGTCATCCCTGTAAGTAGATCAGTCCGTATAACGACTTGGAATCTGTGATAAATCTTGTTTATAGGTTCATAATGACGATAATGAACTTAAACATAAGTTATACTTCAAGTATGATAAACATAACTCAACTTATAGGGGTTCAGCGAGGAATATGGCTAAAGGAAGAACTTCTGAGCCGAAATCTCTTATTCTTGGGGATTTCTAGTATTCCAGGACATGCTTCTAACACCTAGGAGGTGCTAGGGAAAGAAATAGAGGCTTTGGGGGTGTTTGGGATAGAATAGATGAGAAGGTGTGAAGAATGGAGTGATGTGCGCCTTCTATTTATAGGCTGTGAATATGCCGAATGCGGGGTGCTCCCTATATGAACAATGAGTGTTCGTTAGCCATGTGTTACCATCTGGTGGTAAAGCGATCATGCCACGTGTCACTCGCTGGTTACTCCAAAAACTAATTATCTTCTAAAATCCACAACCTTCTCATACGAGCTCAATTTTTGACATTATTTATATCCACGTGTAGATAGTGGCATGATCTACAACTTTCGTTTAGACTTCGTCGACTAGTTTTGATTTTATTTTTAAAGTTATATTTTAATAGATTTAGATAGTTAATGTCCGTTAAAAATTTATAACTTTTTCAGTTTGATGTCCGTTTTCAACTGTCTTTATATCATTGGGCTCTTATTATTGAGATCTTCAATTCTCATTTAGCTTGTGTCGGCTAAAAATCGATCTATCTAAAATTAGATTTCTGTGATGTGTACTACTATGTTAATTCTTAAAAAACTCATAACTTCGTCTAACGAAGTAGGATTTGGATGTTCTCTATATGTACGCTATCGGTTTAACATCTAATATGCCTTTGGTTTAGATTGTAAAGGGTAAAAAGTATTTTTTTTTCAAAAATTCACCTTTTACAATACGCGGAGCCATGCTGGTTTTGTCGGAAAACTTCGACGGGTCATAACTTTTTCGTTATATGTCGGATTTCAACATTTCTTTATATGTATAGAATCCTTGTGACATATATTATACTTTGGTTAAGATTATTTATTATAAATAATCGTCTATCAAAAAGTCATTTTTAATGTTTACTGTCTCTAAATTGACTAGCTTGACTCTGTGGACATTCCATATACAGGCAAAGAGGACCTCCAAAAAATTGACACTTGAACCACTATATATGTGACAAGTGTAATCGGCTCGAACCACATGCCGAATCTCAATTAAAATGACACCGTTTTGACTTTCCGAACATGCCATTTAAATGTCCCAAATGTGGTGATTCCAAATATTTAATCGATATTTCCAAACGAAAGACAGAACTATTTTAAAAACATGTTTGAAGTTTCAATTCAGCTATATTTATAGTTTTTTCGTTACGACCGGTTTTGTAAAGCGACTATAAATTTGTGCTTATAATATTCCGAAAATGGACTCAAATAATAGGATATAATGGAGTTCAAAAACCTGATTAAAATACTTAACAAGATGTGTAGCTAACCCAACGAATCGATTTAATGTTCATTTATGGAAAACTCAGTTATATAACAAGTTTATTTTCATAAAAGGGTGTAAGTTTCACGTATTATCTCCATTTTCGACGTTCTTTATGTTAACATAATCATATTCTTAGGCACTCTCTATTTAGAGTATTGTTTCTCCATAACTATAACTAACATATAAATCTTATTTTCAATGTGTTCATTAAATACCAATATACCGTGAGTAGTGTTTTCTTCGTTAATTATCAACATTAACTGGAGACAAAAAGGGTATTCCATATGCCATTCTAAGTATTAAAACTTTATATGTATTAAAAGGATGGAATATAATGCATTAGGTCAATTACAAGAGGTGTTCAC